TCAGCTGTACCAGTTCCTGCTTTCCTGTAAACAATGATCATTCTGTAAGCAGTTTAGGAGATGGAAAGAAAATAATTTCTGATGCTTTGTAATACCTGCAACCACATGTAAGACTCGAAGATTAGACAGTATTAATGCAATCCTTTTTCTATCACACCGAAATACACATCTAACTTACAAATCACTTGCCTTCATTCTTCACGCAATAACACATACTCTACACATTACTGTAAATATTTTACACTGTCACTGAACAGGACTGCCAGCATAACACCAATGACAACATCTGTTTCATATTATATGTAAGAAAATAGTCAACACGCTCATTTATATACATAACGTAATATTTTGATTCATATTCCTTTTTACTGCAGTCCTATATTACATTTCGTTCAATAGCGGTTTCGTCAATGACGTCACACTTCGGTGTGTGCAATGAACTACTGCGCATCCACCTTAAACTCAGGGGTACCATACGCTGATGTTAGGTTAGGTTAGGTTTGCGCAGTAGCCTACTGCGCATTCATCGGTACCATGAAGGGGGCGAAGTTCCATAAATTATGTTAAAGTTACTTTGTGACTGTACATTAACTGTCAAGAATGCAATCCGTTGTCTATCAGACAGAAAAACACATCTAACTTAGAAATCACTTGCCATCATTCTCATGCTATAACACATACTCTACACAACACTGTGCACATTTTACACTGTCACTGAACACGACTGCCAGCATAACACCAATGACAACATCTGTTTCACTTAGCATACCACCTAGTTATTAGCAAGAAATCTTCATGCCAACAACATATCTATATACACAGGGGAAACTTTTGAATCATTTCTGAGTGAATGGAAATCTTAACATTCTTCAAAACACTACAAAACCTCACTACACATCACTGTATATTTTAACCATAAAATATATCACAATAGAGAATTTAAACTTCACTTTACACTACACATTATTGTCACCAAAACAACACACATTATACCGAACATTCTGTCTCACACAACTAAGATATACGTGTAAATTCAATAAATAACTTCTTCAATGGGAACTAGAACTTCACTTTTCAACCCCTTCTAACAAGTACACATAATAATGCAAAGAAAAAGTATATGATTCGGACTAATAACCTACTCATACGTGTAATATTTACAAGATACATACCAAAACAACACACTGTTTTCGGTCATACTAAATATGTACTCATAAAATCTAATTCACTCTCTATCCATATAACCACTGAAATAAATTTTATGCAAATCACTGTACATATTTCACACGAGATTAATAATAAGTGCAAGAATTACTTCAAACACACACACATTGACCTTCACTACACACCCACAATTCTTTTATGCACTTGCTTTCGTTAATTAGATAAATGTACGTTATGGTGTATTCTTCTTTCACACACACTTCACTTTCATGGTTCAAAAGGAAAACACTTCGATTTCGTTGTGGAACAGAGGAAACATATTCTTGAAAAATATGGTGCACTAGCCATTACTCGGTTCAGGTTAATACACACATTAAAGCATACCATCTGCACTATCTCACTGAATCTTTTAAAATATACTTTCAGGCAGATAATCAGAACTTGTACATATACGTATATAAACATACACACATCACATCCTTTAATTATTTATAAATACCTCTTCATAAGTAGTAAGAAACATACCTTCATTTTGTACACCGGATATTTAGGTCACAGCGACAGGGCAGCCAACCTCTTAACATGACTGAAACAGAGACATTCCATTATCAGTTCCATTACACGACGGTAATTTTCACCACAATCTTTACGAATTTTCGTGTATATTATTATTCTTCTTCCTACCCTGGAAGGTAAAATCGGGCGACAAATGCCGAGCAGTCACTCAATTGGTCGCGTATCCACCCACCAGAAGCAACCAAACAATTTCTCTAATAAGAAATAATTTTCGTCATAACGTCATGCAATTCGAGGGCATCATAATGCCATAATATGTGATATTCAGTAATCATTTGTATCACCGTGGGGAATCCGCAAACTCGTGAGGTGGAACCGACATTTTCGACACAATCTAAGATATTACGTAGCAATAAAACCTCGAAATATGAGCATAAATTGATATTGTATGTGCAAAAGCAGTCAACACGCACAATATTATACATACACTCATATTTCGATTTATATCCAATGTTACAACAATCCTATATTACCTTCCGTTAAATAGCATCTTCGTAAATGACGTCAAACTTAGGTGTGCGCATCGATCTCTAACTCGGGGGGTCAGGTCCTTGGGTACCATTCGTTGATGTTAGGGTAGGTTAGGTTTGCGCAGAAGACTACTGCGCATCCATCTGTATCTTGGAGGGGGCGAAGCTCGGTAATTTACGCTAATGTTATGTTGTGAGAGTATATTATCACAAGTGTGCGCAAATGACTACTGCACAGCGTTAGCTCGGTTGAGCACTGTCTGGCCGTTGGCAATATCTTACGACTGAATGCCTCTGACTGCGTATGAAATCATTTTATATTTATACGGGGCATTTTATTTCCGAATTTTCTCACATGATAAACCCTTGCTATATATTTTTCTGTTAAACTCTCTACGTAATCTGACACCTGGAATATATTACGATATTTATAATGGTAGCAAATGCACTTTTTTCCGAAATTTTGACATTTTCTACAACGCTCAAGTGCAGGATATCACAATTTTCTTGATTGACTCTTACAATTTCCAACAGTTCCCGAAATATTCTATTTTCGAACGTTCCCTTTATTAAATTGCATGCCTTGTCGTCTTCATATTAAAGACGACAAGGCATGCAGTGAACTAGTTTAATGTTAATCGAATAAGCATCTGAAGATGGCACTCTTGTGCCGAAACATGTAGTGCGAGAGAGAGGAGTGAGGTAGATAAGTGTATGCACTAGAAGACGGTTGAAATAAATCATGGACTTCAATCAGTGCAACAGGACGCTAAAATATAACATCGTATAATTTAGACTACATTGCAGACTTTCCTACTCAGTTGATACCATTTTTCCCAACATGTAGGAATAAAAATTTTATTACCAAATCATACAATAATGGTTTATGTGACCATGATCCTCTAATGCTCACACTTTGTAATCCCTCATATAAACTTCTTAAAGATGGATTGGTTAGAATTGGTATTATGATGATTCCTCCATAAGGGAATTTAAATTGAACTTAAGTTATGAAAACTGGGAAAATGTCTTTGATTCTGAATGTGACAATGATGTAAATGTAATATTTAACAATTTCTTGAATACACACTTAATGATATTTTATTCTAGATTTCCCTTACATAAATCTGCAGTCAGCTCTGTGGAGTTAGTTACCTGCTCATGGACAGGAATAAAGAGAATGTGGTTTTGGTCCACATAATGTGACGAAGACAACGACAGAATTCAGTTCCTGAAAGCATTCAATGTAGTTTCCCTTCTAACCATACAAATGATTGATAACTGCACCAGAGACAATTATAATTCTATGTTTCTTTATATTGTTGCGTACCCGACTAATTTTGAAAGATTTCCGTTTTACTATTATATGTAAAAATACCTACTGTGATGGCAAATGCCATCTGGTGTCCATCATGATAATCAATATAGCAATAGGAAGCCCCAAATCATTATAAATTCAAAATGTGTCAGATTTGTAAAAAGCCTGGACAGTAAATACTGAGACCCCTGCAAAACAAATTGTGTACTTTGATATTATTATGAGTAAATTTAAGGCAGAAAGGAAGAACAAATGCTCACATCTTACATGCTTAAAAGATGATGGCATACAGTGGCATTATATGAATATGGTGAAGTTTATTTTTGCTTACATACTCATTTACTTTTATGATGGTCCATTATTTAAAATGTGTTTTTGAAGTGTGGTAATGTCAATAGTAGGGCCACACCACAGCTCAAGCGGTTAATCACTGCCTTCCCACCGCGGCGGCCCGGGTTCGATCCCTGGTCTGGTCAAGTGGGATTTGTGGTGGACAAAGTGGCGCTGGGGCAGGTTTTCTCTGAGTACTTCAGTTTCCCCTGCCAATATTCATTCCACCAATTGCTCCACAATCACCCTCACCTATCATCTGGGGCTGGTACAATAGGCCAGAAATGGCTGCAGTACAAGGGACTTAGTCCCACCCCACTAGCAATAAGAAAAACTTATCATTTTCACCTTCACCCAGAAGACTGAGACAGTCCAGAACAAGTCTGGTAATATGTAATGATTCTGTTTCATAATACAGCAGACTCCCTATTATCTGCAGTGCATAGGAAATGCATTTCCCCAGATAATTAGTAAACTAACTTCTGAATTGGGATTTATAAAATGGCACATATATTTATCAGAGTATTTTACTTTCGAACTATTTGGTAGAAGAACTTGTACTCTTCTCCAAATATAAATGGAATGATCAAGTCAAGGAGGTTGGGGTAGGAAGGGCATGTAGCACGAATAGGTGAGACGAGAAACGCATATAGGATATTGGTGGGAAAGCTAGAAGGAAAGAGACCACTGGGAAGACCAAGACGTAGGTGAGTGGACAATATTAAAATGGTTCTTAGAGAGACAGGATGGGATGGTATAGTTTGGATTGGTCTGGCTCAGAATAGGGACCAGTGGAGGGCTCTTGTGAACACACTAATGAACCTTCAGGTTCCATGAAACGCTGAGAAATTCTTGAGTAGCTGCAGAATGGGCGGCTCCTCAAGAACGGCTCAGCTCCACGAGTGAGTGAGTGAGTGAGTGAGTGAGTGAGTGAGTGAGTGAGTAAGTAAGTAAGTAAGTAGTTTTTTTTATTGCTAGTGGGGTGGGACTAAGTCTCTTTTACTGCAGCTACTTCTGGTGTATTGTACCAGCCCCAGGTGATAGGTGAGGGTGATAGTGGAGCAATTGGTGGAATGAAGATTAGCAGGGGAAATCGAAGTGCTCGGAGAAAACCTGCCCCAGTGACACTTTGTCCACCACAGACCTCGCTTGACCAGACCCGGGATCAAACCTGGGCCACAGCAGTGGGAAGCCAGCGACTAACTGCTTGACCTATGTCATGGCCTAAGTAAGTAGTCAGTACCATTGATAGAAGTGTGTTTCTGTGAAGCTCCTGTGCCATTTCTCTGTGTAAAAATCAAGTTTACTTTTGATATTGGACACATCAGTCAATTTTCTACAAAAAGCCCCAGATAATCTGCTACTGAACAATCATGAATCTACTGTAATTATAATGGATCAACTGTGTCCACCACTCAAAGAGACAGCGAAAACGATGCAGTAATGAAATTAATGAAGTTCTTACCTCATGAATGTGTTCTGGGCGACACAAAGGTTCCGATATTGCTATCAGAAAGTCATGTGCATGTTTATACACTGGAGAAAATGACTCCAAGAAAATATGTCCATTAGGAGCCTGAAATCAAAGCACTTTTTCAATTTCTTGATCTTTTACACACTTGGTAGGACTCCTTGGATAGGGGCTCAGCTCATCTCAAGGCTGCGACCTGCACACACAGGACAACAGAAACAGAATAAATGCATACAGACATCGATGACTTGTGTGGAATATGAACCCACGATCCCAGTGTTTGAGTGGGCAAAGGCAGTTCATACCTTAGATGGGGCGGCCACTATGATCAGCTATTAGGCTCTTAAAGGGTTGTTTTCTGAGGGTAAGGGGCTTGGAGAAATGACTCATGAGTGAATGAATGGGAGGTGCAGCAGTGTCATGAGATTCAGACTAAGGACACAGTGGGCCTTTAAAGGGCCTCTGACCTCTACATCAGCCCATTTGTGATCTGTCCTAGAAACAGCCCTAGTCAAAAAGAGTCGCTATTCTTCATTCCGTTACCATTCATATAACATCATTCTTTTATATTTTTGTAACATTTGAAAACACGCCCATAGAGAATGATAACATTTTACACAATTACAAACGCTGAACTAGTGAATTAATTCAGCTTCACATCGATTCACAAGAACATTCTGCAAAGCAAATGAGTACATTGTGTAAACTTGAATATTGTACTGATTCTTATTCGTCCTTGTGCAACTCAATCAAAATCCACTTACCACCCACAATAGCCGTGACTCATGGTCGGTCTTCAGAACAATTTGCAACCGATAATCTTTGGCTCCATACTCATCTCCAGCAACACCTTGATCTTCTTATTCAATGTTCTTCTTGGCAGCACTAGGAACTCCCTCTACAACACGTACAAGTTAGATTTTGCGAGATCTGAAGTCTTAACAACTGTAGCTATGAATCTGCATTTGTGTGGATTATCCGAATTTTCTCACGATAAACCCTTGCGTATATTTTTCTGTAAAACTCACTACCTAATCTATGAAACCTGGGTTATATTGCGATATTTATAATGGTCATAAATGCATTTTTCTCGAAATATTCATATTTCAGAACGCACTCAAGTGCATCATATCACAATTATCTTCATAGACTCTTACAATTTCCAACAGTTCCCGAAATATTCTCTTTTCGAAAGTTACCATTATTAACTTTTTTATGTTTTTCCACATATGTTAATGATATACATACACTTTATATTAAAGGTATCCACCCCACAATAATTGTTCTCAAATAACAGATAGGGAGATCACTGATTACCACCTCAAGCTAAGAAAATATCATTCAATATTCTTCTAAGCAGTAAAACAAAAAACGAACACATCACTATATATCTTCTAAACTAAACTATATAACAAAATTACAAGAATGTCAGCTGTAACAATTCCTGCTTTCCTGTAAACAATGTCCATTCTGTAAGCAGTTTAAGAGATGGAAAGAAAATAATTTCTGATGCTGTGTAATACCTGCAACCACATGTAAGACTCGAAGATTAGATGGTATTAATGCAATCCGTTGTCTATCACACCGAAATACACATCTAACTTACAAATCACTTGCCTTCATTCTTCATGCAATAACACATACTCCACACACCACTGTGCACATTTTACACTGTCACTGAACAGGACTGCTAGCATAACACCAATGACAACATATGTTTCACTTAGCATACCACTTGTTATAGGCAACTCTTCATTGTACATAAAAGGGGGAAACTTTTGAATACACTGTGGCTGAATGCAAATCTTAACATTCTTGAAAACACTACAAAACCTCACTACACATCACTGTATATATTACTCACACAAAAATAACGTCACACTACACATTTTAAACTTCACATTACATTCGACATTATTGTGACCACAAAGTACATTATACCCACCACTCTGTCATACACAACTAAGTTTAAAATTAAAAAAAAAATAATGTCTTCAATGGGAAATAAAAATTCACTTTGCACCCTCTTCTTACAAATACTTATACTAATGCAAAAAAAAGAAGAAGAATATCATTCTGACTAATAACGTACTCACACATGTAATATTCAGAGGTTACATACCAAAACTACACCCTGTTTTCTGTTATAACAAATATGCACTCATAAAATCTAATTCACTCTCTATCCATATAACCACTAAAACACATTTTGTGCAAATCACTGTACATACTTCACACGAGATTATGACCAAGAGTGCAAGAATAACCTCAAAGACACATTGTCTTTCACCACACACCCACTATCCTTATATGCACTTACTTTCATTAGATCAATAAATGTATGTTATGGTGTGTTCTTTCTTCACACATACTTCAGTGTCATGGTTCAGGGGGGGAATCACTTCCATTTCGCTGTGGAACGGAGGAAACAAATGTTTGTAAAATAACCCACTACATATAACCCACTACAACACATTTTGTGCAAATCACTGTACATATTTCACACGATATTATGAATAATGGTGCAAGAATAACCTCAGACACATTGTCTTTCACTACACACCCACTATTCTTACATGCACTTACTTTCGTTAAATCAATAAATGTACGTAATGGTTTAATCTTCCTTCACACATATTTCAGCTTGTTCAGAGGGGAATCACTTCGATTTCATTGTGGAACAGATGGAACACATGTTCGTAAAACTTCGTGCACTTGCCATTATTCAGTCCAGGGTAATACAGACATTAAAATCCATCACAACACAACAAAACAGTTGATTTTTAGCAGTACTTTCTACATGTTTCGGCTTTTTAGAAAGGCTTCATCCATCAGGAAAATACACAATTAATATATTCCTAAGTTTCTGAATTGGATACTATATAATTCAGTAGAGTAGTTTTGGATTTTCAACAATATACCATAATATAATCATCATCATCATCAGTAATCTGTCAAGACGACAGGTCCACAGTCTCTTTCAAAACAATTCCTCCACTTAATGCGATCTAGAGCTTTCTCCTTCAAATGACAGTATCCTCTTCTGTCCCCAAGGTCATCCAGCATCTTCTTACGTCTTCTTCCTCGTCTTCTTGTCACTTCTATCCGCCCATCTATCTTTCCTTCGATAGCTTCTTTTAGAAGGCAGTTTCTGCGTAAAACATGACCAATCCAATTAGCCTTCCGTTTTCTTATTTCATGTAGGATATTCCTCTGCTCACTGACTCTAATTAACACTTCTTCATTTCTCACATAATCGGTCCAACTGATCTTCTCCATTCTTCTCCAACACCACATTTCGAAACTTTCCAGATGTTTCTGATCTACTGCCCTAAGTGTCCATGTTTCAGCCCCATACAGAGCTATGCTCCAAATGTAGCATTTCACTAGTTTCTTCCTCAAATTTAAGTCCAATTTGCTGGTAAAAAGATTCTTCTTCTTGCTAAATGCAGCTTTTGCCATGGCAATCCTGGATTTAATTTCACAAGTACACCTTCCATCATCTGTTAACAAGCTACCCAAATATTTAAAACATTTCACATTCTCCACTTGTTTTTGGTCTATCTTTATTGTGACTGGGGTTGGTTGTCTCGAAATTTTCATTACTTTTGTTTTCTCCACATTCATTTCCATGCCATAGCACCTTCCAATTTCAATTAGTCTATCAATCATGCCCTGTAGCACAGTTTCTTCCTTAGCCATTAACACAAGGTCATCTGCATATTTCACAGTTTGAATAATTTGCCCTCCTACTTTGAAGTCACCGAGCCCATCCAGAGCTTCCTTGGTAAGGCATTCGCTGTACAAGTTGAACAGAATTGGTGATAAACAGCATCCTTGTCGAACTCCTCTTCCAATCTGCACACTTCCTGTCTCCCCCCTGTCCAGTCGTACTCTAACTTTCTGATCCATGTACAATTTGCTAATCAATCTTCTTTCATGCCAATCGATACCTGTTTCTTTCAGGATCTGCATTAATTTGGTCCAGTTTACCCGGTCAAATGCCTTCTGCCAGTCTATGAAGCAAACACACAGTTCTTCATCTATCTCCAAAGTTCGTTCCGCTATAATTCTCATCATCCCAATTGCATCCCTGGTTCCTTTTCCTCTTCTAAATCCAAACTGATCTTCTCCAAGTACATCCTCTATTTTCCTTTCAATTCTTCTTTTAAGTATCTTTGCTATTATCTTTGCTGTATGTGCAATAAGACTTATTGTGCGATGGTCGCTGCATTTTGTAGCTTTTGTCTTTTTCTTTAAGGCAATCATTGTAACTTCTGTAAAGTCCTTGGGCCACTCTCCACTTTCATATATGGTGTTCATTAGTTTTGTCAGTGTTTTCAAACCACCTTCTCCCAGTAACTTGAGCACATCTCCAGGTACATCATCATCTCCTGTAGCCTTTCCCTTCCTCATTTCCTTGATAGCTTTTTCCACCTCACTTTGTAAAATATATGGTCCTTTCTCGTCTGTATCTACTTCTTCTTCCGGTTCAACTTCTAAGGTTTCTGGCCGATTAGGTCGATCATATAGTTCTGAAATATAATTTTCCCAAATTTTCAGCACTTTCCTCTGATCTACTATTCTATTCCCCTGGGAGTCTTCGATGCCAACATTTTGAATCCCATGATTCTCTTTCCATCCTAGTTCTTTTGTCTTCATGTACATCAAATCATAACGGCCTGTTCTTTGAAATTCCATAATCTCATTACATATCTTCTCAAGATATTCCTTTTTGGCCCTGTCCGTGGCTCTTTTCAATTCATTCCTCAGTCTCCTGTATTTCCTCCTGCCTTCTTCATTGTTGACATTCTTCCATTTCCTTCGCTCCTCCATTTTTTTCATCATCTCCTGCGTAACCCATGGTTTTCTTGCTATCTTCTCAATTTTACCAACCAAATCACTGATAGTATCTAATATGCGTTCTTTTATATTGTTCCACTGCACTTCAGCATTTCTGCTTTCACCTGCAGTTGCACCGAGTTTCTCTTCTTGGGTCTCCTGCACGCTTTGTCTTTGAGCATATAAC